GAGTAGAACATTAGTAAAAACAGCGCAGCCGCGCGTTTTATAAGCGAATATAGAAACTACGCAATGAAATATCAGAGAGTTGCAATACGCAAATGCAGATCCTGCAAATGAACATGCAGTCTTCAAAATCTAGGGACTGCTTCGTAAAGGAGTGTGGTGCTACTTTCGACAAACATTCGGATTTGGGTTTCTAGCGCACTTAAGATACATAAAAAAAGTTACTTTCTACTAACTCTAAAAAAGGGGGTGTAGACGTTACACCGCTTGTCACGTATACGACACCCCAAAACTTCAGTTGGACGTACAACGCGCTGACGTCGAACTGACTGCCCCAACTTTTGCGAGAGGGTTGATGACGGTGCGATATAACATAGTAAACTGCTAAAGTACGTATCAAAGTCTACAGGAAAAAAACACAGGTTTTGCAGTTGAGCCCAAAAAATCCCGGTAACTTTTTTTGCAGTCAGACACACTTACATTAACTGTTTTAATGAGTTGTACAACTCGGCTATCAAGCCGCTCGTGAAATTCGGTAGCGTCGGTTCGCCGTCAGCGCGTTGTACGTCGAAATGAAGTTTTGGGGTGTCGTATATGTGACAAGGGGTGTAAAAATATACCCTTTTTTAGAGTGTAAATGTACATTCAAAACGCGGTTTTCGATCAAGAGTAAGTTCTTGTCCTGTCAAACACGACACCGAAAAGAAGAATGCTAATTTGACAAGGACCCTCGGTGAGTGCGTGGCCGTGCAAATAGGAAACATGGAAAATAGGAGCGTTGCTTTTACACGCGGATGCACCCGATGACGCAGCGAGACAATGCATAATCGTTGCTCGAGAATAACCATCGAAAACTGGGGCCAACAGTCTCGAAACACAAGCATGACCTACCGGATTTTATTGTGTAAATTAAAATACTTCACCCAATAAACATTATCAGAGCATTAACAACCAAAAGATACTCCGTTCACCCCTAAGCTGACACTGTGGTGGGAGCTACGCCCTCGCTGCACTAATTAAAGATCTCCGTTTAATCACATCACATTGCTCTCTGCGCATAGCAATGGGCGAGACCGTGATCACGTGGCGAAAGATATCACTGGGCCGACGAGCAGGTAGCATCTCTTGCATTGTCAACTAGAAGGTGAACGAACTATATATAGCCCGGCTATTGTGATTATATCCGGCGTAATGAAACATTTATCACCGGGATGACTACGTACACGTTCCAGAGCTAGTCGTATTCATACATTTGGTAAGGCTGCTTCCAAAGAGAGAACGTGGTGCTTCTCGTTTCCTGTAGCTTTACCCAAAATAAAGGAATTATCTCGGTTTAAATGGCTGCGCCATTGACTGCATGCAGTCCGCCGACAGCTATAGAATTCATTAGCACTATACGTATCTTCCGCGTGTTCATATATTGCGCGTATGTATGTTATAAATGTTGTATATTTGTAATGACTATCAAATTTTGTGTTTCAAGTAAGCTTGGAGACTTTGAAGAAGCTGCCGGTTACATATGAATCAATTTAGCAACTGCAGCTGAGAGTTTCAGGAGCTAATTTTACACGACTGGAGGAGTGGTTCCTTTCTTTGTCCGCGTGATTGTAGAGAGAGGTTTAACTCTTGAATGTGCGACACTGTTAAATTGGAAGATACGACTGAACGGGTAACTAAAAATGTTGCATTTACTAGAATTAGTATTACAAGAAAAATAATTAAATTGTTTTCGTGATTATGCTGCCTGAAAATAAAAGTGTTTCAAAACTATCTCAGAAAGAAAAACAATCATAAAATTGTTTTCAATAATTGAAATGTGCACAGTATAACGCTGACCTTCACGGATTTAGAGTTTAACCGTTTTTTAACAATTCTATTCGAGCGTCGTTTAGTACCAGACAGCTTGTTCTACAACTGCTTCGACAGGCGGGCTCAGAAGTAAAAACTATCCAACAAATATTCAGAAAAAAAAGCTCTATAACCCGCATTTCTGAGGCGCATAGATGACACTTTTTTCACGTTCTTGAGCATTATACAAACATTGTATCTAAAATAGCATTCCTCAGAGGGTACAGTACGCGTTCCTTGGAATGGAACATAACACGAGATTATTAAGGTTATTAAGACACTTTTCTTTCTCGCTTCTACCGTACGCCCGAGCAGAAGTGTAGGAGGCCACTCCAATGTTTTCAGCCACTCGAGTTTTTAATTACTTCTCCACTCTGCGTAGAAAAATACGAAGTTCTTTTTATTCCTAGCACTAGACAGGGCGAGCGAATGTGGGACGTCCCACGCCGCCGTTCCCACTGAAGGAGCCCGAATGCAAACTCGTCGACAGTCCGCCCACCGGTCCGCCGGTCCTTGTGACGAGAGTTGCATGCCGGGGGGCTCTTCGCATACCTACACTCGAGGCGCCTGGACGCCTCCGTAATTTCCTTTCTACGACTTCTCACAGGCGCATCGTGAGGGTGAACTCGACCGCAATCGCAAAAAGGTCTTGGGCTCGTATTTTCTTCCTTTTTTTCTTCTCTCATTTTGGTCTGTCGCAGGTAAGGTCGTTGCGGCTTTCCCGAACAATTCCGCATATCAGCGGCAATGACCACTTGTTTTGCCTCTATAGTTTTATTGACTTGACTGCGAGAGCGTACCACGTGCAACTGCGTCTGGATCGGTGAATGCGGGTTTGTTGTCGGAGTGGTGTTTAACCGCCTGAGGTATGAGTGTGTGTGCTTGTCTTTTACACGTGCTCAGAGTTTGCGCGAACTTGACGGCGTTGACGATCATGGGAGTATTTTTCCTGGCACTCTGTTCATAGCCGCAATCACTGGCAGCCTAAGAAGCGTAAAGGGCGAGCGTAGCGAGTCACGACCTTCTTACTTTTGCTTCGTAGCTAACGAAATTGGGGTATTGGCCTATAAGGACGCCGTAAAACGAAGGGCGAAGCGAGACGGTTGAAAATATTAAAGCACGTCCTTCGCCTCTTATGCGGTCAGTGTCTGTACAATCAATTCCACGTAATTGCTTCCTAAGAAGGCTCGATGTCTGGGCGCACGATTAAAATATTATGCTGATCGTTAGGCCTCGGAGTATTTCACGACATGAGCAAACCCGAAATATGATAAAAGTTTTATCTATATGATTGTTCTGTAGCCACGTAATAAAAGATTCAGAGTCACAAAGTTACGCCGCTTGCACAAACCCGCGCTATAAATAAGGAGCCCAAAATGTATGTATTAACGTAATACTGAATATTAACAATCGCTCGCATCAAACAAAACTCAAGAGGTGAATTAGTTTTACACAGGAAGAAAGGGAAGGCTTCCGTCTGACGCCCTAAATCTTTTTATTCTTTTGTGAACTCCTTATCTCACTGGTTGCATTTTAGCTCATTCGAGTCCTTCCTTCGTGTAGCAAAAACGTTTGGTCCTACAGCTACTCCGACAAGATTAAATATATACGTTCGACTTTCATTCTTCAAAAAGTTAAGCAACACAACAAAAATAAGTCCTGTTTTTTCGCCAGGCGCATTTACGATGTGCTAGAGAAATCATGATCCTATATCGTATAACTGTGCACAAATGTTAAAAATTCCAAAATATTTTCTACTCCTATTGAAGGTGTGTGCGTGTGTGTGTGGGGGGGGGGTGTATGTGTGTGTGTGTGCGTGTGTGTAAGAAAAGAAAGAGGACGAGAGAAACCGGGAGTTTACGTAGAGAACCCATGTAAATAAACTTGACTTTGTGTATTTCGCTCTAAAAATAAGAACTTCAACATACAATGTACAAACTTAAAATACGAAAAATAAACAAAATAGTTAATTTCGAAATTTTCCCTGTTACTGAGCAGAACTGAGTACACTGTAGGGCGTACATAAGGGGTGTTCCACATGTTTTGGAACTTGATTATAAAACAAATTACCAGGACTTCAAAAACAAAATGTTTTTCAACCTAATCCACCCTCACACTACTGCCCATCTCCCATTGTCCTAAAACTTCTGACACCTCGCAAAAAAAAAAAAAAATTCTCCCTACTTGTCAGGCCACTGCTCTGTCGCAGTTTGTAATGCGTTGAAGTTATCGAACCTTGTTCTTGTGAATGTGTTACTTTGCCTCCCTTGCATAGATGGCTGTTCTATTTATGGGTCACACTGGTAAAGTCACGTCATCCTCAGTCACAAGGAGGGCGAGAAAATGTTCTGGGTGGCTCTCATAGAGGCTCAAAAGCTCTCTCGATGAATGCAATCGGTCGTGCCTATCTTGCGTAAAGAGGTTCCGTGGCCCCCATTGTGCCGAGACCTTCGACATATCTAAAACATCGTAGACGATTGTGAAAGTACTGTCCTACAATATGTTCTTCAATTCTGTAGCAACTTCGGTCAGCTTAATTCGGCGATTCTTCAGATAAGGCTCCTAGCTCGGCCTGAATGATCCAAATCGGTAGAAGTCCTGGGCCGCCTTGACCTTGGATCGTAATGCACGTCCACACGGCTGGGTTCAAACTCATTGAACCGGCGAGTTACTGTAGTATATGAAGGACATTCACTGGCATACACATTCACTATTCTACTGCGAATATTCGTGGCCGAACTCCCTTCTCTGCACAAAAACTTTATTACGCTCCGGTACTCGAGTTTGAAATCGTGGGAGGACGCCATATTTAACTGACTGACGCAGACCAAGAGAGGAACCGGAAACCTTGATATCACGACCATGTACCGCTAAAAAGATAAGCTAACCAAACATTATAAAGAGATTACTGTCAGACTTTTGGTTATAGTTTATATTATAGCCGAGTTGCAAAGCTTTCTGATCACACCTCTTACATACACGAAATACCTGATGGAAAATATTCAAAGCAACTGCGAGCTTTTCGTTCTTTGGAACTTATAAAACAAATCCGAGTTCAAAAACACTCGAACATTAATGAACTGTTCTCAATAGCTTATGCTTCGTTTGCGCAGTCCGTCGGCAGCGTGTTCCGCTGTAGTCGGCGGCACGCAGGCATGCTACCGTGGTTGGTGCTCGTGGCCGGCGCGCTGGTCATCCAGCGAGCCGCGGCCCAGAGGACGGTGGGCCCCAAGTTGGTGGACCTCTCGTACGTGTTCGACAAGAACACCATCTATCCGTCTCCCACGGCGAACTTCTCGCTGGACGTCCACTACCGCAAGACGAAGCACGGTGTCAGGTAAGAAGTCCACCTTTGTCGTAAATACAACCTCTATCGATCCCCCCCCCCCCCCCCCCCCCCCCCGCCGTGCTCGAGAATCATATGTTTTTGAGTTTCCCGAGTTTGAAGTAAAGTCTATAGGTGCTGGTCGATTGCGGGGCGAAGAATATTTCCTAGACATCGAACACCCTCAAGTATTCTGACAGCAATCTAAAAAAAAACACTGACTCTTTGATGGTAGTTTTAACAGCACTACCGTTACTGTTTACTTTTATTTCCAAATAGCTAGATAACCTATGAGATTGTTGATGAAGTGTAAGCATATTTGGTCGATTTATGTATTTCTGAAACATAACACTTTATCGTAGAACTGAAACCTTTGTTTTTCCCTATTGGCGGCGAGATGTTTTGGTGGCGCCCTCCTATGGTGTCCTCTCCTGATGTCATTAGCTTCCGAACAACAAGTTTGATCATGTTTGTAATTGGTATGGCGGAAGCTTGAAGTCATTCCGCTCTAAAAACAACCCTGCCAACACCGTCATTCCTCTTATTTCCGTCGATGTGAAATCCTTTGCTGACGTCATTGTCAGCATTCAGTTAATCGTAGAAGGCCGATCACAGAGACTCTTTTGGACAGCCCGGCCAACAGCACGCGCTCGTTGCCCCCGTCAAACTTTGGCCGCGCGTGCACGCACCTCTATCTGTTGACACCTTCGCTTTTAATTATCATCTTATCTAATGCCCAATTCAGTGCCGTAGATCTACACTCACGTATGCAATTAAAACATTTGGCGCTGCAATCAGCTCTCGTCAGGCACGCATACCATTTCACGCAGATGATCATATTATAGGTCACTTTAAGCTTTTTTCACTGATAAAATAAAACTTAAAAACATTGTAATAAAGCTGTTTATTTTTTTTTAATTGCGTTGACGGGCGATGTGAAAGCAAGTAAAAAAAAAATAAGCAAATTTTAGAGGCTTGGGTGCCTAATAAACAAAGGGTGTCTGTCCCGCCTCAGCGGAGGACGGAATATTAATTTCAACCACCTAAGCATGTTTTGACGTGCAGCCGAGAGCTCAATTACACCGGCGCACCTTCTCTGCAATAAACCTTTGAAATAAGCGCACGTCGGCTGGGATTCTGATGTGAAAGTCCGAGCAATTAATATATTCGTTTGGTCGGTTCCTGTTTTATGGAATATAATTTCAAAAATAACGGCTCATGGGGATAATGATGATGGCCCGAGTTATGCTTTTTGTATTTTTATGCGAAATATAAGTGTAAACCACATTCTTAGGAGAAACATTTATATGTATATAAATGGCGCAGCTACATCAGGTATAAAATATAGAAGCAGTCGTGCAAATTGCTAAGATTTTACGTGGTGCTTTAACGCATCATATTAATTTTGTGTTGAAGCATTCACGACCTGATGCCTTATCCTTTCACAAAACGATTGCAGTACGCACAAAAAAACTACAAAAATTATAGTTTGATATTTCTAAATAAAAATTAAACCTTCAAAACATTCCAATTAAATACGTCTTATTGACCCTTTCATGGGAAGGACACCCAGCATATTCATTTGGTAGGTTGGGAGCCGCTTTTATACTGGCTTGACGATTAGGACTCATCTTGAGACGCAATTCTCATACTACACTGCTGACAGAAATATTTCAATTATTCACTGCCTTGCGGGGACTTCAATAAGACTTAATGAAGCTGATGCGGAAACTGAAAACCTGAATTTCCAAAAGCATACTAAACAATAAAATATTCCATATATATATATATATATATATATATATATATATATATATATATAGGGTGTTTCACGAAAGATGGACAAAATCGATATTGCGAAAACTACGCGTCGCAACCAAAAAGACTCGTGTCGTTTTGGTCCTGGGCCAGGGACCTATTTAGGAAAATTATGAAAGTCCGGGATAATTAAATTTTTAGTTATTTTTGCGTCATTAACTTTTAATATTCCGTTTAAGGACATGGTTTCAATTAGAAAATTGCTCAGCATAAGCGAAAAACACTAAATCAACAAATTGCAGAACGATAGAAGGCACGCGAAGCATTTTACGGCTTTCTGAAAAACAGCACAGATTTGACGGGTTTTAAGTTTCGGTTTGCTATCGGAGCGCTATCGGCCCCGACGGCACCGCGCCCCGTGGAGAAAGAATGCAGCCAGCCTCTGCTGAGTCACGCGAGGACAGCGCAGCAGAGGTTGGTTGCACTATTTCTCCACGGGGCGCGGTGCTGTCGGGGCCGAGATTCACTCCGACAGTAAACCGAAACTTAAAAACCCGTCAAATTTGTGGTGTTGTTTCAGAACGCCGTAAAATGCTTCACGTGCCTCCTATCGTTCTGCAATTTGTTGATTTAGTGTTTTTCGCTGATGCTGAGAAATTTTCTAATTGAAACCATGCCCTTAAACATAATGTTAAAAAGTTAATTACGAAAAAATAATTAACAGTTTAATTACCCCGGACTTTAGTCATTTTCCTAAATAGGCCCCTGGCCCAGGACCAAAACGACACAAGCCTTTTTTGGTTGCGACGCGTAGTTTTCGCAATATCGGATGTGTCCACCTTTCGTGAAACAACCTGTATATACACTGCTCTGAGGTTAGTGGTAACTTAAAGGGAAGCTGAAACACTTCTTGAAGAAAACGAGTTAGAGGTGAATTCTGGCGTATTTTTATCCAGTGAATCTGAATATCACTTTTGTTTTCCCTGAAGATGCAACTAAAAGCGACAAAACGCGAAAAAACATTCGACCAGTCGTGACGTCATACTAGGATCTTCGGGCCGCCAAGCGCGTGTCGCTCGTGTGGGCAGCGCGTGCAACGGCAAGCTTGCCAGGTATATTTCCCCGCACTGACACCAGTCCTGACGTCTCTTTCTGACCTTTTTGAAAATAGCAAGAGTGCGCGTGCATAGCTTTGACAGGCGCTGAAGATGCGCGAGAGCAGAGATTCCGAAAGCTCCTAGTGTGACGTCACGCCCCGGGAAGGAGGGGCTTCGGCGGTACTTTAAAAATTAATTTCTGAAGCCTCCGTGCTCAAAACTGAAAAATAATCTTGATATTCCTGATCCCGGAGGTAGAATGAAGGCCATTGAAGTGTTTTTTCTCAAATAGAAAACCGCTTCAGTTTCCCTTTAAAATACGCGTTTTATAAAAAAAAAATAAAAAAAATAAAAAACGGACAGGGAAATAAAATGTTTTGCTCTTCGAATTTGTGGATGTTTGTGGGGAGGTGACTACTGTACAGTTCGACGGCTGAGCTTGAGTTCTTTCAACTTTCCTCCCCTCTCCAAGTCGGTCACGTGGAAACAACGCCAGCTTCCTGGAAGCACAAAACGGAACGGCTCTGCTTCGGATTCCGCCAAGCCTCTTTTGGGACAAAGTGGGAAAGACTGTGCCCCTCAACGCTCGGGGCGCAAAGCCCTCTCTTTTATCGCTAACATGCAACCAATTAACGGCTATTTGCTCGATGAACAAAAATACAAAACGTCCGCTCGCTACCTCTCTGCGCAACACAGTCTCAAACAGGGACAATTGTATCGTTAATGAAACTGGAGCAGACAGGTCGTTAATAATGAGACCCCGTACGGACGCCATCGGAGGAATGCGGCACACACAACAACACGTTCGGACTCAATTATCCAATAGCTTCGCAAGTCGCTCGGATTCTCTCTCGAGGCAAAGTTCCAATCAACCCGGGGGCAACCTACCCTGCTTCGCACCGCCAGTGCGAACTGAGTGGCAATTTTCCCGTCCCACTTATTTTTGTTGTCCGCGGTAATAGAGCACGACCATGCGCGAAACTTTCTTCTCGTTGTATGTATCACCACCGGTCTCTCGAAAGCGGAAATCCTGGAGAAAAGTGTTATTGCGTAAGAGTTACCGCGAAAGGGGGTGGAAGGGGCAAGAGCTCGTAAACTGTGTGGACTTGAGGGCCTCCATCGGGTGGTTTTGTGCTCGTAGTTTTTGTGTTCTCGCCTCTCTCTATCCGTTTAAGGACGCACGCCTCTACAGGGTCACACGCGCAGCGGCGTAAGAGACCCTGAGTCGAAGGTGAGGTTTTTCTCAGGAGAAACACAGCGTTCGTTGTCGCTGGCTGCCGCCTCTGGAAAGTTAATAAGCGGTTTGAAAAAATTGATCCGGACGAATCTGACAAGGACTCAAAAGCAATCGTACGTGGTTCTGCAATTGCGTCTCATCGAACAACTATGTAAACAAAAAAAAAGACAACTCGTATGTTAGGCACTGAAAGCCTAAAACAAGCAGGTAGTAGTGAGCCCCGCGAATCTTATACTTTTTCAGGCAGTGACCTTGCTCCTGTTTTGGAGTACTTAAGGCACTTCAACAAATTACTTCGGAAACTTTGCAGCGCCGCAGTAAGCTTGCTCCTTTGTATAGTACTTAACGTACTGGAGTAAATTACTTTGGATATGTAATTTAATTACGCGCTTACAACTACCTTGCTTCAAAAGAGCAGAAATTGTAGTCAATCAAGAATGTGCGTTGTCTTCAAAAAGTAATGCACAATTACTACATAATTACTTTCTTTCGAGAAATACCAGACATTTATGATGTTGATGAGATAGTATTTCCCATATAAGTATGCACTTGTGTGTTCCTCGTCTGGCTGGAGTATTCGTTATGCGGTGTTATGCATTCCTCACATAAACCAATCAATCAGAGTTAATTTAGAAATAAATACAAACTCCAAATGTCCACGAAGTGCGTCTAAAATACACTAATGTGTCTTCTGACGAGGCCTACATCAAAAATAGCATATGGGAACCTAGTTTTGAGTATGGAACGACGTCGGCCGTTTTATTATTTTGCAACTTTACCGAGATGCTCAGTGTTCTTTTTATCACACTCAAAAAACTATAATAGTAGTTACATGTGCTGGATGTGGCCAACAGGAGTCGAAAAAAATATTAAGTTCACACTTAACAGTCCTGTTATTTTGATTCTTTTTCTCCATCCCG